GAGAGAGAGAGAGAGAGAGAGAGAGAGAGAGAGAGAGAGAGAGAGAGAGAGAGAGAGAGAGAGAGAGATTGCATCGAGCAGTTGCCTCCACCATGAATGAATCAGCTGTCATATTTGTCTTTGCAAGCGAAGCTGCAACAGGTCACCTAACTTTTTTTTGTTTTGTTTTGTTGTATTTTTTTATGGAATCTACTCTCGATCAGTATGTGACACAGAGGAACAGTTTGATATGAAACTTGTTTTCTTTTTTCCCTGGAGTGAGGAAGGAGCTCATGATCTGTAGCATATGGAGGTTGACATTGAACTTGATGATGTTGATGTTGATGTTGCTTTTTTCTTATCTGGTGGATTGTTTCTTTTGTCTATGTGCACGTGGTTCGTATTTTTTTGATGAGAGCAGGTTTTCAACAAGTCTTTACTCGCCAAGTTTGCGTGGGCTATGGATGTATCGCCGGACTACCGATTCTGAGAAACTGCAAGTTCGTTTCATTTTGACCTTTTTGGTTTAATCCTGGTTTCTGTAGGAGCATTTCCCACTGTTGGCATCACGACAAAGAACATGTATTTGGAGCCTTTTGTTTTCATTTGAAAAGGGGGTGTGGGATAGGGGGGTGGGGAGTGAAATGGTACCTAGCAGGAAGCAGCGAAGGAGCAAGAGGAGGAGGAGGAGGAGGAGGAGGTGGTGGTTGTGAGGAGGGAGGGTGATTGCTGCTGCTGCTGCTGCCTCGTTACGGGTACCTAACTGCGCTCGAGGAGTCGATGGTTTCGCCTCTGAGGATTGGGTAGAGAGAGAATTTATGAGGGCGGCATAGATTGGCCATCGGGCAACCCCCCCGTTAAATAGCTGTTGAATAAACTGGGATGTTTGTGTCGTAGGTCTTTTGAACAAGCACGCGAGATGACGATGTCCATGTTGCGACTGTGGGTGCGGCGAAGGGCTGCAGGCAGTCTCCTTAGGAAGGTGGGTGGGGAGGTTGGGAAGGAAGATCGGAAGATCGTAGGCCAGGTGATTGTGTGGCTGATGTGGTGGTGAATTTATTATCGTGCACCGTTTTTTGAAATTTCCCTGTCTGTCTAACACGCGCGTATCCTGTGGCCAGGTGGATTTCACTCAGCAAGACATTACATCACCACACAAGGTTTGAACTCCTTGGTTACTTGGAGTTGTGCGTGACGACGGTGATGGGGAATATACTTCTTGAATCGCCGATCCTTAAGGTAGGGCGCATTTTAAGGATGATGAATTTTGCCATTTACACATTTCTAGCGAATGTTTGACCACCATCGCCGATTGAGTCAGTCCCCCACACCCTCGAAAAAATGTGGTGATGGGGAAAGCATTCTTCTTCCAGGCACTGTATAGTTTGCTTGTCAAAGAGAGAGAGAGAGAGAGAGAGAGAGGGGGGGGTGGGGGGAGGAGGAGGAGGAGGACGACGACGAGGAGGAGCGTTCGGCCTCGCTGTAGACTTTGTGTTCGCAAAGTCTTTGACAGGCCGTTGCTGTATGCCCGATGTGCACAGATGTATCAATATAGAACGTGGATTTGCCGGGCAGTCTGTGTGACCTCACTTAGCGAACGAACGGAGATAAGAAGATGTGTAATGCGGAGGGAGAGGGGGGTCAACAGAGACAGAACCTAAACACAGCCTCACTGATAACTTCATGTCCATGAAGTTTTTTCTGCGTCCAAGTTGTCGTCATGCCCAACGTGCACGCTTGTACGAAGAGAGAGAACGTCGATTTGCCTGGAAGTCTGTGGAATGTCAGCAGCTGACTTGTTGAGATATGCATGAAGGCCAGAGGGGGTGCAATAGAACACCCTAAGCACAGTCCCCTGATATTGCTGAGGGCTCCACTCTGCTTACTCTGCGGAATCGTATTATATTCTTCAAAGGGGTCTTCTGGCATTTTCGACGGGTACAGTGGAGGGGATGTGGCACCAGCGAGGTCGATATAGATGTTGCCGAGAGGGGTAGATAACGCGTAGAGGGGTAGGTAACGCGAAGACGGGTACAAAATGTGGAGAGGGGAAAAAGATGGTATGGAGAGGTGTCGGGCGAGCTTACATTGATGCCCAATAACAGGGGCCCTTTTAGAGGGGGCATCAATATACCGAAGTCAGTGTGATGATGAGAAGAGACTCTGAGAGTTTCCACATCGCCCTCCTCGTGACGGAAAGTGTGACCTGAATAGTGATTGTGGATGAACCCGAAAGTGTTTCCACATCGCCCTCCTCGTGACAGAAAGCCTGTATTTTACGGGTCTGTCTGCCATCACTGGTGGGAATTGACGCCACCCCTACAATACAGTCGTTCTGTCTCCATTTTAGGGGTCCCTCTCATCAGTTTACTCTGTTGTGTCTGGCAATGAACACTAGCGATATTTCGTGTGCAAGGAAGCCTGCAGTGCACCCTGCCAGTAGCAGTGGGGAGGAGTATGGAGGAATGCGAAGAGGGTAGCGCTCACAGGGGAGGCGGGCGGGGGGTTGAAGATGGGTACCCTAAACAAAGACTCGGCTCTCGGCGATTGTCGTTTTGACGTTTGTAGTCAATTCAGTCCAGTTGGTGTCAGACTGTTAGGCAACCCTTTTTTTCCCTGTTTAGGTGAAAAATTAAGGCATGCCAGCTTGCTGTGCCATCAGTGATTTATAAGCGCTCACATTGGGAATTGGGTTTATTGCTTTGCAAAAGCATGTGTTTTTTTTTTTGGGCGAGAGAGAGAGAGAGAGAGAGAGAGAGAGAGAGAGAGAGAGAGGTGCTGAATGTGGCAAGAGGAATGAAGGAGTGTGGCTACAATCATGTTCTCTGAGGAATGATTCAGGAGTGTGGCTACAATCATGTTCTCTGAGGAATGATTCAGGAGTGTGGCTACAAT